TGAGGTATCATACTTAAACTCATCATTTCCCTATTGATTTCTACTGCAAAATCAGGCGTACATATTTTACTACCTTCCTATAAAATTAACAGGGAGAAGTAGTTAGTATTCAGCCTCTGCTCACCCACACCAAGCAGCTAATACTAAGAAAACTGCTGAGCTACTTTTCTAGGATTCTAAATTCCTGCCTCCAATTACTGGGAGCCAGTAACCCCCATAACCACATTAGGGAGCCTTCCCCACCTCACCATCTTCTCAGTACTGTTCTAGGCAGCCTCTGTAACCTCATGATCTCAACACATTCCCACTGTTCTCCTGTCTTGATATTCCCTAAAGTCCATTCTACACACTGAATATTTGATAGAAAAAAAAATATCCCCATCAAGAACTAAGTCCTTGAGCAGAGTGTGGTACCTCATACTTGTCATCCTAGCCTCTGGAAGGTGCAGGCAGGAGTCCAAGGCCAGCCTCAGCTACACACAAAATTTGAAGCCAGCCAGAACTACATGGGACCCTGTCTCAAAAAACCAAAACTGAATACACAAACCTTCTTCCCATCATTAACCAATATTAAATTCTTCACAATAGCGTTCAGGCCTTCTTTCAGAAGTGCAGATGAACAACAAATCATTCCTACCTTTTAATAAAAACTTGAAGGTTCCACTGAATTATCTGTGCCTGACAATCTGACACCAATTCAAGCTAAAACAGGCACATGACTTTTTCTCATTTCTAAAGCCCAAGGTGGGATCCGTTTAGCACTCACTCCTGAAACTGAACCCTTTGTGAGAAAACACATGAAAATGCCTCACTATGGTATCAGTGCTCTAACTCTGAACAGAAACTGAAAAAGGGGAAAGTTACCAACATTTTCAAACATATAGGATATGTGCTTGACTACAAAGACAAGTATAGCAAATACTTGTTCCACAGAGGAAACTACTCCAACAGTTTAGGTAATACAAAGCAAGTATATTCCTGAAAATGACTGATTATAAATAAACTATATAAATGATACATAAATATGCATGTATAACAATAGTTATAATAACAGTTGATCATCGTTTGGACTCCACCAGCTGTCTATTCATCTATTTGCTAAACTTTACTTCAATTCCCAAATCATTTTTCATGGTACTTAGATGATCATTTACAGGCACACAATGTTGAAAACTGGATGTCTTGATTTGCATGTTCTTATTTCAGCCCCCACACTGTCCATGAGTCCTTTTTCTCATTTGCTTTTCATTGCTGATTTCCGTGTTTTAAAGGGGCCCCCAGGCACAATGCTCAAGGGCTATCTAGAGTTCACAGGTGCAAGACAGGCTATGATGCTCCTTAACAGAAAAAAACACATTAGATAATCTTCATTTAGGCATGAGTTACAGCAATACTGCCATGACTTCAGTGTTAATGAATCACTAGTATATATTAAATAAGGTTTCTTTAAAAACAAGTACACTTAAGATAAAGTGCATATAAATCAGCTGACAAAAAACATTGTGAACCAAGGCTTTGAGGTATCCAACCCTGTTATTTCCCTAGAAGCAATGATTCAGTATTTGCTAAGTCAGTGTTCACAGTGGCTTCTGGAACATAACTAATTACATAAAGACAGAGACTGATGTATTGAAAAGACCAGAGGCCACTCTGAATAAGCCTCCTATGTTTGCAGTAGCACGACAATAACATCTCAGAGCATGGCACCCACCAGGCCCTGCCCTGTTCACTGACCTTCCCAACATGGACAATCTACCAAGTGTGTTTCTTGGTTGGTCTTAGCTTCTGATATTTTTTCTATTCAGCAGTATGTTTCTTCCCTATTGAAGAACTATAAACCCTCATGACTTTTCACAAACACCTTAAATGGCAGATTAATCTGTCACTTTATTGATTAATCATACTTAAATATGAACCAGACTTGTGCTTAAATATCTTGCCTAACTTGCTGAATCACCTGCTTGGAAGGGAGAGGGGACATTAAGCATCTAAAGTAAGAATAAATCCATCAGGATCAAAAAGTAAGCTAAATATAGGTAATTTTGACTGTGTGTGCTTGAAAGGGTAGACATGCACCGGGGGAGAAAACCTGGCTAGGCCCTGCTGCTACAGAAGATGGTCCCAGGAGCCAGGGTGTAAGAACAGGAAATTCCATCTTCCATATGGTTTTCTTCCATCTTTGCTTCCTCCTACCATTCGATCATTCATTAAAACAAAAAAATAAATAGAATTTTCCTTTTTAATGAAGCATTGAGGGATGGCTCAATAGGAAAAGTGCCTGCTCTGCCAGCATGAGAACCTGAATTTGGATCCCTAGCCTCTACATTAAAGATGGGAGCTGCTGCGGGGGGGGGGGGGGGGGGGCACGACAAGCAGATCTCTGGGACTCACTGGACGGCCATCCTAGTGGAATGGATGATGAACTGTGGGTTCAATGATGGACCCTGTGTCAAACTAAAGTGAAAGCTGAGCATTGATAGCACAGGCCTTTAATCCCAGCACTCAGGAAGCAGAGGCAGGCACATCTCTAGATCAAGGCTGGTCTCCATAGTGAGCTCCTGGCCCGCTGGGGCTTTATGAAGACCTGTTTCCAAAAGATCAAAAAATAATTATTTTTTAAAAATTAAAGTAGAAAGAAATTAAGGAAGACAGTATCAACCTCTGGCTTACACACACACACACACACACACACACACACACACACACACACAGATATACACCTGCTCTCAGGCATTCACAGGTACACACACATAAGCATGCACCCACAAAAAAACACCATACATGAGACTGTAGAAATGGCTCAGTGTCTAAGAACACTGCCTACTCTTACAGAAGACCCAGGTTTGGCTCTCAGTACTCACATGGCAGCTAACAAGTGCCTGTAACTCCAGTTTCAGAGACTCTGACGCCTTCTTCTGGCCTCTGCAGGCACTGCACACACATGGTACACTTACATACTTGCAGGCAAAATATTCAAAAATAACAAATCAAAAAAATAAAAACAAAAAAACCCACACATGAACAGAAAAAACTTAAAGCAAAAGTCAGTGGAACCCAGGCTTTTGACAGCTTCTGAAGGCCTGTGTGCAATCCCAGCACTCTGAAGGCAAGAGCAAGTGGATCAAAAATTTGAGGCTTGCCTTGACAACATAGTTGGACCCTCTCTCAAAAAAAAAAAAAAAAAAAAAAAAAGAGAGACTGGTGATATCACTACCATTCAGAGGGTATAGCACTTGTCTAGCATACATACAGGAGACCCTGCTTTCAACCTCCAGAGTCTATGTCTCCCCCACCCACCTCAGACACACACAAAGGAGCACTCTAACAGCAGCATCTGTGCTTTGTGATTGAAAGTGGGGTAAGAAACACTTAAGGGATGTGATAAAACTTACAAAATCTATTTGTGAAACGTCAGTATTTTCTTAGTTCTAAATAAAAGACCTAGCAGGGAATGATGGCACAAGCCTTTAATCCCAGCAGAGGCAGGCAGATCTCTGTGAGTTCAAGCCCAGACTGGTCTACATAGTGAGTTCCAGGCCAGCTGGGGCTACAGGGAGACCCTGTCTGAAAAAAGATATAATAAACAAACAAATAAATAAATAAGTAAATAAACAAGTAAGTGGCCTATCTGGAATTCAGTGAGGCAGAATAACTATTCAAGCTACATTTCAATAAATTACTAAGACAACTAGAAATATGATGAGTCAAGTCACCAGTGCTTAAAAACCTACACCCTACACCCAACTAAACCTGAACCCCGAAATCCATGTAGAAGCAAGTGCTAGAAAACTGCGCGGTGTAGTCAATCTATCAAAACGACTCACCATATTCTGAAAAGCTATAGACCCTCTTCCTTCTACCTCACCAAGATTCAGATAGGGTCATTATTCTAAGCTTACAAAACAATGCCACCCACCCCTGATAATCTTTTTCTTTATCTTATAGACAGAACTCCTGGATATTTTGTCTTGCATTAGTTTCCTGTTGTTCATGAAATTTCAAAAACACAAGTGGAATCTCTCTTATTTTTAAACCATGTCAGTATCTAAGTAGCAAATCAGAAAATCGAAAGTACTCTTAGATTTCTTTTCTCTTAACTTTAGAACTTAAAAGAGCCATTCATTATCAACAGAAGTATTTCTTATAAATTTTTTGAAGTATTTTTAATATTTCACATTCAAAAATTCAAAGGTCCAGGCATACAATAAGAAATTAAAAAGAATTTTATACAAGCCAGTTATACCAGAAACACAAAATTAAAGTTTTTTTTAACATGGAGTAAACTTTTTTTTGTAACCAGACTCTACCTGCTGTCCCAGCCTGTTTCAGACACTGAAAGATTCCCCCCAAATCCCTCCAAGTCAAAGTTAGCCTGCCTGGCTTCACTTTTTAAAGTCCTAACAAAAAGACAAACTGGGAAGGAAAGAACTGTACCTTGTCCCATTGAGAAGGTTCTAAAACAAAGATAAGTACTCTTCAAGTTTCCTTGCCCCCACCCCACACCCCACCCCACACCCCGCCTGCTACCCAGCAACTGCGTAACTGAACTTGGAGACACTACCAACACACACGCAGATAGCTGTACACAGAGAAGTTGGGGAAGTGCTGTTTTATTTGCTGATTTTTGTTTTTCAGCAGAAACAACCCCGGGCTCCGCGGCAGCAGCTGTAGGGTCCAGGGCCCGCATAGTGTACCCCGGCAGACACCCGCCCGAGCCCTAGCTTGCCAAGCAGAGGCGCGGGACTGCTCCATCCGAGGTCCAATGAGTCACCGGTCCAATCACGACCCCACATCCCTCGCTGGGACGTCAGGAAGAAGAGAAAGCGATTTCAAACTCGGATCCCGACTACTGTGAGCCGTCACGGGGCTGCCAGCCTGCCCTTCTCCAGCGGCCGCGCCAGCCCCGCAACGCGGCAGAGCCGGCGGACCCCACCGAGGGCGCGGAGCCCGCCGGTCGCCACACCCCGGCCTCCCTCACCTGCCGCCCCCGGCACCCGTACCTTCAGCCAGCGACTCCTCCAGGGTCACCTGGTAGCGGCCGACGGCGAACACTCGGACCCCCAGGGACGAACCTCCGAAGCTGCCGCCTAGCCCCGCGCCCACGGCCCCGCCAGCCACCGCCCCGCCGCCGCTGCCCTCCGACTTGGGCATCCGAGAGAACTTCTTCATGGTCCCGCCGGCGCGCTGGAGGGCACTGGGAGGGCACCCCGGGTGCGCGAGAGGGCAAGTCCTCGGGCCCGGGCCGGCGGGACCCGGCCGTCCGTACGTCCACGAGGGGTCGCCGCCCTTTGCCCGCGGGAGCG